AAGACTTTCTGTTATCTTCAGGGGGCCTTTGAACATACTTCTAATGCAGGACTTTAAAAACATTACCAGATAGTGGTTGATGCAAATGATGACAAAGACAGCTAACAAGGTCCAAAACAAAACCTTGCAGGGAAGGCCAACCCTATTTCCAGGATTCCTGCCAAAGAACTTGCTGTAGACACAGGAGCTCTGTTGACTCTCCTAGCTGCTGTCACAGGGGTGAGGTAGAACTGGAGGGGATCCACTGTTCTACTCCTCCTTGTCCTCTTGGCTGTTGCTGGATGTGGTGAAAATTAGTCTATGATGTCCCAGGTTGTGGTTCTTTTTTGATGAGGGAGTTGCCTCTTCCTTGCTTCCTTACCCCATGCATGAATAGCTGTAGTACATGCCCCTGCTTAGTGCTTTGTCAAGCAAGTGCAGCAGCATGGCCCACCCAAAGCATTCCAAAATCACAAGATTGTAAAAACAGTAAATGTGGGGTACTTTTTCTTGGCCTTCTAGTGTTTGGAGCCAGGGGCAGTGTGGGGAGTCACAGTTTCAAGCTTTTCTCCACAACCTGGAGGGCTAGAAACTACTGTTTTCCTTTTACAAAAGAAAGCTGAAAATGTTCCCGTAATCCCCCAACTGCAGGCACAGAGAGAGTTGATGTAAAATTGTGAGATGGTGATGCTGTGAAATGAAAACAATTCTGACTGGTTTTGTGGCTACCTTCTGTCCTTCTCCTTTGTCCACTAGCAAGAGAGAAAGAGATCCAAGAACGAAAAAAACCCCAACCCCTACTTTATCTTTTAACATAGCTTAAAAATGCACAGAGCCTGCTACTATCCCTTGCAGTTTCTACTCTTACAGTTTTGCATCTCTATTGCTGACAAGCAGAACCCTCAAGCAATGCCAGAAATATTTTCAACAAAATATATATCCTTGAGACACACAGGACTCAGCATAGAAAACAGTATTTGACTGTGTTTAAAGATACCTGTCGTCTTTTCTCCAAGGTGTTAGATTATGATACATGAGGTCTTCTTTCCCTGCCCACTATGACCCTGGCCTCCAGCCCTGTAACATTTTAAGGCCAGCATTGTGGGGTTTTATTATGTTTTATACTGTCATCTCTTTCAGTTATCCCTGTTTCCTGGAGTCTGTATTTCATGCTAAGTCATCACATCTGTAATGGAGTGTAATTTTCACCCTGCCTTCCTTATTTTTCAGTGTCAGCTGGACTTGGCAGAGGAATAGAGGGTCGACTTCTGAAATCACAGAAATCTCAGTTTTAAAATAAATAAAAAAATCAAAGAAATCTGATCTAATTTGTCAAGGATACAAAATGCATTACTGTGCCAAAATTCAGAGAAGCAACCAGATGAGAGAAAAATACAGTAAATAAAGAATCTGAAAGTGACAATTATTAACAGAATAGAGGTTTAAAAAAGAATGCTTTTCCTGGATTTTTGCTAATTTAGTAAAATCAAGAAAATTTTGGTTTTGAAATCTTTAACTTGCCAAGTGCTGTTACTGACATTATCTTTATTTTTAGAAATGTTTGTTGTTTACTCTCCAAAAACATGCTGACCAATTTGGGTTTTTTTGGTCAGTTCTGATGCATTCATTACTGTTGGAATTAGTTGGGGTTTTTGTTGTTGTTGTTTAGGAAGCAAAAATGTCAATCAATGATTGTTCTACTTGATTGGTTTTATCTAGAGCTGGGCTAATAATAATAATAAACAGCACTGAATATGTGGATATTTGTTTCAAAACATTTAATAAAGTGTGCATATTCAGAATTTATTCTCTCGGTTCTAAAAACTAGGTGAATAACAGCGGAAATTAACAGAATTTGTTTCTAAAATAAAAGTTTGATAGATAAATTATTGGACTATTATTTAGCCAGCCTTAAACTACTGGCCCTTCACATATTTGTAGTTTGCTACTCACAGTGATACTTTGTAACCCACACACTGAGGATATGTCTACACTGCAGCCTTTTGTCGGCAGAGACAATGCAAATGAAGCGCTCATTAGCATTTGTCGTGCTGTCATTTGCATATATCTGCCAGTGCTTTTTGCTGAAGAGGTTTTTGCGCAAAAACAAGCAGTGTAGACAGGGACTTTTTGAACAAAAAAACCCTTTTGCGCAAGATCCTGTATAGCTCCTTTTTCGAGGCATAAGGGATCTTGCACAAAAGGTTTTTTTTGTGCAAAACAGCCCCGTCTACACTGCTTGTTTTTGCACAAAAACCTCTTCCACAAAAAGCATCGGCACAGATATGCAAATGACAGCATGACAAATGCTAATGAGTGCTTCATTTGCGCCATCTGGAAATTCTAGGTGGCCCTAAAAGCTATCAGTTTTTGTTTGTGTGGCCCTCAGTAGGCTTCGAGTTTGACATGCCTGCTCTACAGCATGGCTTGAGAGCCAGCTGGCTTTATAGCTGAAGTTGTAGAGGCTTCTACACTAAGCTTCAGAGATCCTAGGTTCAAATCTGCCTGGTGGTGGTTACAACTATACACCAAATACAAGGATTTAAGTTACAGGAGGAGACTGTGAGCTTAGTTTTTTGTTTGTTTCTGTCCTGGTCTTTTTTTAGCTTTTGGGTGTGTTTTATTTTTTCTTAGAAGGATTAGATTTTAATTGGTAAATATATATTTCACCATACAATCCAATAAAAAAATATTATCCATCACTTAACATTATGTTCCTGAAAAATGCAACTTTAATGAAACGATGTTAAGTGAATCCAATTTCCACATACAAATTAATGTAAATAGAGAAGTTATGTTCAAGGGAAATTTTCTTGCCAAACAAAAGACATATGAGTACAAGTTTTAAAATAATTTTAAGCAAAGAATTAAATACTGTATTCACCGGTGATGATTTATGAAGCTTGATTGAGGCAGGGACATAGAGGGGATAGTGGCACAGGGTCTTGGCCACTGTCGGAAGACAGGACACTGGGCTAGGTGGACCTTTGATCTGATCCAGTATGGCCGTTCTTATGTTATGTTCTTGCCCCACTCCTCTTCCCTGACGCTCCCTGGCCAGGGAGTGAGGTCACAGCATGGGGGCTTGCCCCACTCCTCCTGGCTGGAATGCTGGGCAGGTGGAATGTAGTAAGCCCCTGCCTCTCGACCTCACTCTCTGGCTGGAATGCTGGATGGGTGGATGGGGCAAGGCAAACAACCTTGTAATGGAACATTGCATGACTTTCAATGAGTATGCTCTCTGATAGATCAGCAACTTAATAACAAAACGGTATTAACTAAGAAAATTTTAAATGAGAATTTACTGTCATCAAAATGTACGTATAGGCAAAATAAGAAAAATGCTGCTTGAGAATTTACTGGAGTTTAAGTCTATTTACTTTGTATATTTTGACATGTGATGTTGACAGTTTTGTATTTTTAATTTTTTTAACTTCTTTAATCTTACTGTCTGCTATCATTAAATAATTGGTAAGCACTCCCTTATTTCTTGATCTAAATAGAGAGAGACACTTTGGAAAAGGCTTGGAATAAACAATATTATCAACAAAATTATAAAAAATAAAAAACAAATTCTGACAAGCCAAATTTTATTGTATTCCCTTTTCGCTTGTGGGTTTATGGCCACAGTCCTTCAAACACTTATACATGTAATTTACAGTCAGGAGTAGGCTCATTGAGTCAGTGAAATTACTCACGTGAGTTAGGTTACACATTTGCCTAAACATTTGTGGATCGAGCCCTAAGATGTCAAATTGGGAAGTAACATTTAGCTTCACTTTATTGCAATAAGAAACAGAACTGGAATAAACAAGGGAGAAAACTGAATTGTTAAGCTTAACAAATGCATGAACATTAATTCAGATATGACGTTAGGCAGTAAAATTCAGGTCAACATAAGTAGAAATGTAAATTTGGAGTGTTCTTCTACCTCCTTGTGGTAACTGAGTTAAATATATACACGTTTCCATAGCAATTATCAGAACGGAATGCTTTAGGAGCATCTCCTTTTTGTTTTCTTCTGTATTACTGTATCAGGAGATCCTTTAGGAAAAGTTTTTGCATATGGTAGCTCCCGTGGTGGGAGAGAGAATCTTTGTAAAAAATATGCTAAAATTTCTCTGGGCTCAGAGGGAAAAGATCATCTCACTTCTTATTAACATTTGCTTAGTTAAGCTAAGGGATTAGCTTGTCAAAATAAATTTAAAGTTGCTTTGATTTTTATTCTTTTCAGCTTATTAATAAGTTGTCTGGTTCATATTACTGTCATCTAGCTCTAGAGCAGGAGGTGAGTGCTGGGTGTAGGTTTCTTTTCTTTTTTCTACTTTTTTTTTTAAGTGGGAAGAAAAGCATGGTTATTGAATAAACAAAATCACCAAACTACGCAGTCTTGTGCGTGTATGTGTTGCTGAGCAACTGATTGCTCTTTGTTGGGCTGTTCACTGCAGTTTTTGAACATGCCATGTAGTATCTGCGTGGATCATCTGATTTATTTTAGGATCTTCAAAGACAAGAATGATTAATGTAGGTTGAGTGAGGACCCTTTATCCATGGAGACTTCCACCTCACAATGGAACATTTCTTAGCAGTTTATTTTTAGGAAAGTTTGTTCTTATGCTTTTTATTGAGTTTAAACAGTGCAGTGTCTCTTGACAGTGCCATACCCTGTCATTTCATGAAGCTTTGTTTAAAAATGTAAGATGTACTGCCTCAGTTCTTTTTTTATGCTATGTCCTGGAACTTTTTTCTTTGACTGCACTCAGTTCTTTAGGCCTTTAAATTATCTATGTTTATGGCTAAATATAAGTTTCCCAGAACTCTTCATATAACACTCACAGATGTATGTACTGTGTGTATATCCAGTATGTATGTATAGAGAGTGTACCATATAATGGAGCAGTTACCTTGACGTGTGGAAACATTTTACAGCTTTTCTGTGATCGTTTTTTTTAAAGGCAGTTACAAATATTATTTTAAGAATGAGATTTATGCAGTGCTTAAAGTATGTTTCTGTTTTGCAGGCCAAGCAATGCCGGTGCAGATGCTTTTGGCAGCTCTGATGCAACACGGATCTTGGTGACCACAATGTAAATGTGAATTTCCGCAGAGTCTCACAAGTCCTATAAAATGGAGGAGCTGTACAAGGACACTCAAAATCTGCCCCTGGACGTTACCAACTCTCCTTCCACCATCACTAACAATAAGCTAGAAAATGGTGTCGCTCAGCTGATAACAGCTGAAGCCTGGAATATCAACTCCACAGACTTGATGAAGAAAGCACTTTCACCACTTGTGACTGTCCCAGCCCCTTCGATCCTCGCCCCGCCAGCGGAATCCCAAAGCGGGGTAGCTCTGAAAGTAGCAGCCACAGTGCTTCAGCCAATTTGCTTAGGGGACAGCCCAGTGGTTCTTCCAATACACCTGCAAGTGGCAGGGAGTGCCACTCCTCAGATTGCACCGAATAACACCACGCCGTATGTTATGACCACTCAAGGGCCAGTTCCATTGCCTGTCCTCTTAGAGCAACATGTGTTTCAGCATCTAAATTCTCCACTGGTGTTACCGCAAGGTGCTCCCTGCTCTACAAATCACCTTCACAACAATCTTTTCCAGGGTTCGTCTGCCCCGGTTGGACAGCCCCAGTTACTGGATCAGAAACCATCCAACGCGACCCAGGATACCATTTTGCCCCCAGTGTTTCAGACTCCAGGATTTGCTGCAGTTCTTCAAGATTTGTTTCCTCCACAAGGTACCTTAGGGTCATCACCCTGTCAGCCACCCCCAGATTACTCCTCTATTCCACCCCAGGCCTTCAGTTCCCCTCTATCGCCACTAGTGCCCCCAGCCACTCTCCTAGTGCCATATCCTGTGATTGTTCCCTTGCCAGTCCCAGTGCCCATCCCTATCCCCATCCCCATTCCCGTGCCTCATGGCACTGAATCCAAGGTCAACCCTGACTACCCCAAGCCACCGTCATTTACCCTGTATTCCTGCAAAGGCACCCAAACACCAGTGGAGAAAGAAGAATCCAAACCCTTTGATTTCATCCACTCAAGGGAATTTTCCCAGCTGAATCGTCACACCGTCATCAAGATGAGCAATGAGAACGAGGCCCTGGACCTCTCTATGAAAACGGTGCCTTTACTAAAGGCAAGTGAGGTCAGTTCCCAGCTCTCCCCGGAAGATGGTGCTTTAGACTTGTCGATTGCTTCCTGTAGGAAGTCAGGAAGCCATGCTGAGGCAGCTAGTACCATTTGTTCTGGATCCATGATGGACAGTGCTGCTCATTCCATGATGGATAAACTCTCCAGTGCAGCTTCCCCCTTTGCCCCTCCCAAACTTCACGAAGCCTCAGCCAAGGTCGACAGCAGAGTGACCGGCAGCAACTCGGCCGAGCTCCTGAGACAGCAGCAAAAGTGGCTGGTGGATCAGACTAGCAGAGCAGCCTGTGAGCCCAAGGCCGGGAATAATATTGAGATTGTGAGCACTTCACAGACTGCCAAAGTAATAGTCTCTGTCAAAGATGCTGTGCCCACTATTTTTTGTGGCAAGATTAAAGGCCTCTCGGGAGTATCCACCAAAAACTTCTCCTTCAAAAGGGACATGCCCCAGGACTCTGTACTGCAGTGTTATGATGTGAAGAGCCAGCCAGAGCCTAGGGATAATGCAGAAGCTCTTAGGAAACCAATCAAAAACAGGAGTGTAAAGTTAAAGAAAATGAACTCCCAGGAGATACACATTCTTCCAATAAAAAAGCAACGGCTTGCGGCCTTCTTTCCAAGAAAGTAAATTATGGGTTTTTAGAATTTTAAGATATAATAATTATTATGAAAAATAAAAAATGCACTTGGTTTAAAATGCATTTTGAACTATCTTTGTAAGTTATTTTGGGGAAAGTGGGAGAGGATTGGCTGTAGATTTCCTGTAAAATTGGGGGGGAGGGGCATTCTTTTGTTTGTTTTTCATGATTGATTTTTGTCTTTTCATGAAAAAGTAAATAAAAAGCAATCTATTTTTCAAGCAGATTGCACATTTTTGCAGCTTTAATGGAATAATGGATGAGTCAGAGGGGTAAGAGCTATTTTCACTGCCATGAAGTGCTTTGATGATGTAATTCTTAATAGTGAATACAATGGAAAATTCAAAATAAATGTTTGTATGTGGTAATTGGTTGTGGTTATTTTCTCACTTATCAATTGTTTTCATTATCCAGGAAGATTTGGCAGAAGTCTGTAAACTGTAAAGCACTACAAGTTTGTCTTTGTTATAGCCCTGAAATGTTAAAGTGACCAGGCTAAGAAAAATTATATTGCCCAATTGCACCATCAGAGAGCACCTCTGAATAACCAGGAATTATGTATTTTAACTATCTTCAATTAAAATGACAGAACACAATTACTGTTGCACATAGTGGCATGAGTCCAATGCACAGAAAATACTGATGATGAGAAATAAATATAGATCAGTTTGTAAACACTGATGAGTTTAATAAAAGCTAAAAGGAGAATTGATTGTCAGTGGATGAGGAAAAGTCACATAATTTTTCACAGCCTGAATATAGATACATGAAAAAGTTGTTTGTTGTAAGTTTTACCATGTCTTGCTGGCTGAAATCAGTGCACATGAAAGAGTAGAACAATGTAACTTTGACATTACAGTGTAAATGGCCAGCCATGTCAGTGGAGAAATGTGAATGTAAACTTAAAATAAAAACCTGGTAGGTGATAGTTGCACTTGTATGTGAAAATGAGCTGGAGATGTATTACTGCATGTTTGCTTCTAAATTTATACCTCTTGCAATTAAAACATAGCTATCAGGGTGAACACGAGCACAGGGAAGTGATGTGATGGGACGCCACATTTTTATTGCTAAGCCCTCCCTTACATGTTTCAATTTTATTTGTTTAGCTGTTGATGGTACGTGCTGCCATTAATTCCTGCGCACCAAAGCAAAGACTCTCAAAAGTTAGACAGTATTATAAGGCACTGGCTTTCCTACACACACTTGCCCCCCAAAAAAGGATACTGAGCACCCAAAAGGATGCTGCCTTTATTTAACTTTAGGAAAATCTTTGCCCAACCATGTTATGATTTACAATAACATAGATGTTGCATTTTCATTAGTAAGGTAAGGAATCCTTTGGGCCTCTAATATCTTTTCCTTTTTCCTTGGGTAGAGTATTGCTGCTGTTGGTGCTTTATCTTCAATTCCATCTTAATTTCTGTGGACATCAAAGTCTTCAACATTCAGGACGTGTTAGTACAATAGGTATGTTTGTTTTGTAGTAAGTGTCTTCTTTTTTTAAAATGAGTCTTTTTCCTAACGTTGGCAAAAGAAACATGTTCAAAATAGATTGAAGAGTTAGCCATTCAGGTAATGTTTATTGACTCTCTTTTATTGCCTATCTGAAAATGTTTTCTTCCCCTTGAATATAGTTTTTAATGCACAAGAGGTGGATCTTGTGACTTTTGCAATATACAAAAGTAGGAGTTATATAGTGTGGTATGAATGCTTCAGTTGGACATTTTCAAATCGCCAAGATCTTCTGAAAATGTAGCTCGTTCCAACAGGAGATTTTAAGAGGAAAGTCACAAAAGCAGCTGCTGAAACATTTATTCTCAATGCAAAAAACAAAGTAAGAGATGAAAAAAATGTATCAGGTTAGTGTAGACCAAGTGACCCCTGTTAAAATACTATACTTGATTTCAAATGGCAAGTGAGTTCCTAACCATCAAGTTTTGCCTGTTGGCTCCAGTAATTTCTCTTAGGCTGCAAATCAGAACTGCTAACACAATGGCTGTCTGAAGAGGACTATGCTAACATGAATTAGGTATTTTTTTTAGTTTGCATCTGCAGAAGCCATACAGGGAAGTTACAGCACAGCACATTAATCAAGATGTAGTCTAACTAAAATCAGTTTTAAAAAATCGAGTCAAACCACCATCAGCCCAGTGGACACAATTTAACTGGCTTATAGTGGTGTGGTTGTACACACAGGAAGTTTAGCCACCAAATTCAAATAAATCAGTTTAAGCCAGTTTTAAATTGCTGTGTGTGTGGCCATACAGAGTTTTAACCAAATCAGTTTAAAGACCAATTTTAGTTAAGCCGATAGAATTGTTGATGTAGAGAAGGCTGGAATAGCATATGTCGTCTTCCAGGAATGATTTAAAAATCTAAACAGCTGAAATGTCACAACCATATCTGATATTCAAGAAATTTTTCAGAACCCCTTTTAAATATTGTTTCTTATCTACTTCCCCAAGGGCAAAATGGCCTTTTTTCCAGTCACATGATTGTTATTTTAAATTACTAGTTGCCCTGAGTTAATCACTGATTCACCTGCTGTTATATTTGCCTGCAAACTATCAGGAGCAACACAACTGGCTCAATTGTAAATGGGCACTGGTGCAGTTCCTGTGTTGAAGCTGCATTGCCCTCAGTGTTCCTTTTTAAGGTGGTGGTGTTTGGAAGAGAGTGGGTCTCTCCAGTAAGGGCTTGTGAAGATCACTTTATCATTCCACCATTTGTCTGTTTTTAATCTGTGGAGACAATGTTCAACACAAAAGGTGATATGCTCCTTTCATATTTACATTCTTTTGAGCAAACTATACTATGTTCCAGGGTCTTTTTTCTGCTCCTCCTAGCAGAAGTGTTCCAGAGCACTAATAAAAGTGGTACAGATTGTTAGCAGGGGGGAGAGGCAGCCACAAACCAAGGCACTTAATTACTCACCCCCCACCGCTCCTCTCTAGTAGCAATTACCGTGTTGGTATATTGGTCCATTAATTATTCAGGAGGATACATTTTATGTTGGACTGAAACTTTTGCCTGGGAACCAGGAAGCAGAGCTACATTGATAATATATGGAGGTGCCATTGCTGGTAGCTGCTAATGGAAACATTAGTGCCTTTGTGAAGTTGAAATAAAAGGCATTCTAGCAGAATGACAGGAAAAGGAGTTTTTCTAAGCTTCATCCTGCATGCTATTGCAGTGCTGAACATGAACGATGCAAAAGTACGAGAGTAAGCTCTGCCCGCCTGTCCTCTCTCCCCCTACCCTGGAGCCTGCGTACATCTTGGGGCATCTTTCCTTCCACACTTTTCATCTTTGCCATTTAATTCCCCTCTCCACTTTTTCAAATAGATGCCCTCACTTTTGAGTAGAGACCTTATTTGGGGGCTTATCTGCACAGGAAAGTCAGTGTTTATTTGAAACTCAGGGTGTGTATTTGAAACTCACTAGCTATGCCGTATTAAATAGCCACGTGGCAATTCTTAAACTGCACTCTGCGCCTTTGTGCGTGATAGCTTATGACATATTGAAGGTGTAGGCACCAAAGACACACTTAGTGCAGAGTAAGCATGGCCCTACAGAGCTTTAGTATGGAGTGGCGAGGGCTCTCTGGCTATAACAACCTATTCCCCCAGACAAATCCTGAGAGCTAAATCTTATATTAGGGCCTGAAAATAGTTGAGATTGGACTCTGTTCGTAGCTTCAACAGCTAGGGCTCTGGCTAGGGACCTCACTTTGGCTCACTGAATCTTAGCTTGAAGCAGACCTTTGAATCTCTTTGAGGAATATAGCTGTCTCGGATAGGATATCTTCAAGGTAGCTCCTACCCAGACTTTTAGGTGCCCAGGAGATCAAGATTAGTGCTAAATTCAGGCGCTAGTGCAATGTGTTTATGCCTCCTTTTTGCTGGATAGCAAATGTGCTACTGAATGAGCGTCAGGCTCCTGGTGGTGGTCATGTTCATGCTCTGGTGGAGGGAGGTGGCCTAATCAGAAGTTAGCATTCAGCTGGATGATGATGGCAAGGTCTTCATTGGAGAAGAAAGACTGTTTTTCTGGGTAAAGACAGTAGGAAGCATCACTTGCCAGTGTAGAATCCAAGCAGACCATGGAGATACTAGAGTAGTATACTGCTGGCTTTGGAAACTATGTGCAGAATGGTACAAAGCTATTTGTCTGAATTAGGTATCACCTGGTCTGGGTGCAAACATATTAGCTTCAATCCAGCATCTAAAAAGGGGTGTGGTGCACTTCTGTGAACAAGGTATGTAGGGATCAAATGGGCTTCCAGGGAGCCAACTTAGTGACAGCCAACTACAAACAAAACAATAGTTAAGTAACACAGGAAACCAATGGTAGGGGTAAGTTTAGGCCTGAGTCCATGTGTGCATGCTGTTACGAGCAGAATGGAATGCAACCTTTTCAGTCAAGGTTGAAGAGAGCATTCTAGTAAACTCTTCCAGTGTCTCCCTTCTCAGTCACAGGAATCTACAGCTGTCCTCACAAAATAGCATGAACCAGATGGTTTGTGTTATTTCATCACAATACATTTGGCATAAAGTTCTAGAACTGACTCATAGGGTTGGGTTTTTTCCACCCAGGAGGAGACCTGCTGGCTATTGTTTGAAGTGAAGGATAAGAGCTATATTCCAGCTGTGGCCTCTTTACCACCATACTGCGTGAGGTGTGGGGTGGAAAAAAAGCTGTTGACTTGTCTCTTCCCATTCCATTTGCAGCTATATGAGTGCCACCTACTGTCAGACCGAGATGAGGGCTAGGCCTGCCTGCTGTGGAATTCCTTATCAGCAGAGCTCAGATGGGACTAGGCCCAGCAGTGCTTCCCAGAATATGTCCAGCATCTCCCAACCTTGGTCTGTAGCACAGCTGTAGATGGGGGGTACGGGGAACTGCTTAAATGACTCAATAGGCTAAGTCCCAGCAGAAGGGTGGTGCTGAATCAGCACTTCCACTAAGCATCCAAAGATTCTGTTGTGCCTTCCCTCTGGGAAAAGGTACTTCAAAGGGTTCCAGTCTATATGCAGATAAAGACAGCTGGGGCAGATGTGATAATAAATAAGGGGTATGCTACTTGCAGTTCATTTGTCCTTATGCCATGATTGATGCTGATATTTGGAAAGTGAGCCCAAGGAAGAGCAAGATGGGAGGAGATCTGCACCATCCTTTGTGGGTGATGAATCTGAGGAACTGTCCCGGATTGAAGTGTCATTAGAGGAGGTTTTGGAACAAATAGAAAAACTTAATGTTAACAAATCTCCGGGACCGGATGGCATTCATCCAAGGGTTCTAAAAGAACTCAAATGGGAAATTGCTGAGCTATTATCTGTGGTTTGTAACCTATCCTTTAAATCGG